GATCTGAAGGGGGAAATTAGACAACAATACAGTAATAGTAGGGATCTTCAATACCCTACTTTCAACAGTGGATAGGTCATCCAGACAGAAAATCAATGAGAAAACATTGGACTTGAACTGAACTATACTTTAGACCAAATTGACATAACAGAATTCACAGATGAATTCTGCCAAACGTATAAAGAATTAACGCCAATCCTCCTCAAACTCTTCCAAAAAATTGAAGAGAAGGAAACACTCTCAAATTCATTTTACAATACAGGCATTATCCTGATACCAAAGCAAGATAAGGATAGTACAAGAAAAGAAAAATACAAGCCAACATCTGTGATGAACATAGATGCAAAAATCCTCAACAAAATACTAGCAAACCAAATTCAACCACACATTAAAAGGATCATAAACCGTGATGAAGTGGGTACAAGGATGGTTCAACATACTGGAATCAATCAATGTGATACACCACATTAATAGAATGAAAGATAAAAATCATATGGTCATCTCAAAAGATGCAGAAAAAGCACTTGACAAAATTCAACATCGTTCCATGATAAATACTCTCAACAAAATAGGTATAGAAGGAATATACCTCAGCATAATAAAGTCCATATATGACGAGCCCACAGCTAACATCAAACTCAATGGAGAAATGTTGAACACTTTTCCTGTAAGATCAGGAATAAGACAAGGATGCCCACTCACACCACTCCCATTCAACATAAGTACTGGAAGTCCTAGCCAGAGCATTTAGGCAAGAAAAAGAAATAAAAGGCACCCATGCCTAAAAGGTTGAAGCAAAATTGTCTCTATTTGCAGATGACTGATCTTATAGAAAACTCTAAAGACTCCATCAAAAACTGTTAAAACTAATCAATGAATTCAGTAAAGCAGCAAAGTACAAAATCACCATACACAAATCAGTTGCATTTCTATGTAGTAACAATGAACTATTTGAAAAAGAAATAAAGAAAATAATCTTATTTACAATTGCATCAAAACAATAAAATACTTTCGAATAAATTTAACTAAGGAAGTGAAAGATCTATACACTGAAAAACTACAGGACATTGATGAAAGAAATTGAGAAAGACACAAATAAATGGAAAGATATCCTATGTTCATGGATCAGAAGAGTTAATATTGTTAAAATGTCCGTACTACCCAAAGCCATCTATAGATTCAATGCAAATCCCTATCAGAATTTCAATGGCACTTTTCACAAGATAGAAAAAACAATCCTAAAATTCATATGGAATCACAAAACACCCCAAATAGCCAAAGCAATATTGAGAAAGAACAAAGCTAGAGGCATCACACTTCCTGATTTCAAACTATATTACAAAGCTCTACTAATCAAAACAGTATAGTACTGGCATAAAAATAGACACATAAACCAATGGAACAGAATCAAGAGCCCAGAAATAAACCCACGCATATATGGTCAAATAATATTTGACAATGGAGCCAAGAATATTCAACAGGGAGAGGAAAGTCTCTTCAATAAATGGGCTTGGAAAAACTGGATATTCATGTGCAAAAGAATAAAATTGGACCCCTAGCTAATTACCACTCACAAAAATTAACTCAAAATGGATTAAAGACTTCAATGTAAGACCTGAAACCATAAAACTCCTAAAAGAAAAAATATGGAAAAAGCTCCTTGACTTTGGTCTTGGCAATGATTTTTTTTTTGGATATGACACCAAAAGCACAAGCAACAAAGCAGAAATCAACAAGTGGGCCAAAATCAAACTGAAAAGTTTCCACACAGCAAAAGAAACAATCGGGGCCAGCCTGGTGGCATAGCAGATAGGTTCACGCACTCTGCTGTAACGACCCGGGGTTCGCAGGTTCAGATCACTGGTGTGGACCGACGCACCGCTTGTCAAGCCGTGCTGTGGCGGCGTCCCATATAAAGTAGAGGAAGATGGTCACAGATGTTAGCCCAGGGCCAAGCTTCCTCAGCAAAAAGAGGAGGATTGGCAACGGATGTTAGCTCACGGATAATCTTCCTAAAAAAAAAAAAAAAAAAAAAAGGAAAAAGAAACAATCAACAGAATGAAAAGGCAGCCTATGGAAGGGGAAAAAATATTTACAAATCATATATCTGAGAAGGGATAAATATCCAAAACACATAAAGAGCCATGCAACTCGATGGCAAAAAAACAATCAGATTTAAAAGTGGGCAAAGGACCTGAATAGACATTTTTCCAAAGAAGACATACAAATGGCCAGGAGATACATGTAAAAGTGCTCAACATCACCAGTCATCAGGGAAATGCAAATCAAAGCCACAATGAGATGTCACCTCACACTAAAATGGCTATCATTGAAAAGACAAGAGATAACAAGTGTTGGTGAGGATGTAGAGAAAAGGGAACCCTTGTGCACTGTTGGTGGGGATGTAAATTGGTACAGCCACTATGGAAAACAGTACAGAGGGTCCTCAAAAACTTAAGAGTAGAACTATCATGATCCAAGAATCCCCCTTCTGGACATTTATCTGAGGGAACTGAAATTACTATCTATTAGAGATATCTGCACCCTCATGTTCACTGCAGCATTATTCACAATAGCCAAGACATGGAAACAACCTAAATGTCCATTGATGGATGAATGGCTAAAGAAAATTTGATATTCATATATGTATATAATTTAACCTTTAAAAAAGAAGGAAATCCTGCCATTTACGACAACGTGGGTGAAGCTATGTAGCTTAAGGGCATTACTCTAAGTGAAACGTCAGACAGAAAAACACAAACACTCTATAATCTCATGTGCGGAATCCAAAAAAACTCAACTCATCGAAACACAGAGTAGGTTGATGGGAGAAATGAGTGAAGGTGGTCACAGGGTACAAACTTCCAGTTATAAGATGAGTAAGTTCTTGGGACCTCATGTACCGCATGGTGACTATAGTTAACAGTACTGTATTGTATACTTGGAAGTTGCTAAGAGAGTCAATCTTAAATGTTCTCACCATAACAACAACAACAAAATGGTAATTATATCAGGTGATAGATGTGTTAACTATCCTTATTATTGTAAACATTTTGCAGTATACATGTGTATCAAATCGTCGTATTGGACAAAAAATAAAAGCCATGTTAGAAGCAGCAAAAAGAGATTCAACAGTACTGACAAGATGAGGACATCTTGTTTACTTTAAGAAAGCAAAGTGAAATGGAAAAGAATAAAGAGTTAAACAAGATTATAGAGAAATGATAGCGATGGAAGCAAACGAGCTCGCTCTCTGAGATCTGTGCATGGTATAGCTGCATCTGTGCAGCACCACGATGGTACACCAAATGCCTTGATCCAGCATCTCCTTACACATACCCTACACACAGGGCAAACATGCACTGCCAATAATGTTCATTCTAGCATGATGTGAATAGCAAAAATCGGGACACGGCTTTATGGCCTCTCAGTGGGAGGCTGATTAAATCAGTCTCAGTAGAATTATACGAAGCATGCAATTAACTCTTCTAAAAGTGACTTTGTTTGCATGTGCTGACATAGAAATATATCAACAACACGTGGGTAAGTAGGAAAAATAAAAGGTGCAAAAAACGTAGGCCCCTAGCTTTATTAGCCCCCCAAAATTATACATTACCTATTTATACTTTTATACAGATTTTTCTGGAAGGATTCTAGAAAAACTGTGAAATGTGGCTGTCTCTGTGGATGGGATTTGGAGTTGGTGGTGGAAAGAGACTAACTTTTTATCATATTTACTAGTTGTCAAAGGTTTATCTCTTCATCAGTTCAAAATTCAGAATAAACTTGAAATAACACAGATGATTATATTATTCATGACTTTTGAAATCAAAATCTAAAAATAATGCATCACATGATTGAGACAGAAGTGTAATCAGTGTGTCATTTAGGGAAGTGTCATGTACCTCTGGTCTCAGATTGCTGTCCCCCATTTGCCCCTGACCCACCATAGGGCAGCTCACCTCCCTCCGCCCCGGTTAGAGTGACATTCACAGGCGGTGGCAAGACGAACACCCTGCGCAGAACCCCAGGCCCCAAAGGATGGGGTTTTGCTAGGCACTATTTGCTCTCTTTACTACCACTGCTTTTTTAAATTAGAAAGTTTAAAACATTTTTTTAAATGATACTAGCAAACAGTCTAGGTCAAAATAATTAGCATTGGCTTATAAGTGTAGACAAATACACAGAAATGGTTAAATGTCCTTATGACAGCCCAGTGTTTCTTAGAGCATAACCGTGAACTAATATCCAGGCTTGACTCTTGCATTGCCAGGACAAGCTCCGTGAAGCTGCCAGCAGCCAAAGGAAGAGGTGAAAAAGAAAGGCTAAAAAATACAAGAAATTCTGTCTGAATCTTTAAGATACAATTAAATCTTAAAATTTTAAGATTTAAATACATATTTTTAAGATTCAGACCAAAAACATACATGCACACATGCACAGGGCATTTTGTGAGTCATGATTTTATTCTTTTTTTTAAATTGTGGTGAAATACATGTAACATCAATTTTACCATCTTAACGGTTTGCTAAGCGTACAGTTCAGTAATGTTAAGTACACCCACATGTTTACGATCAATCTCCAGAATTCTTTCATCTTCACAAACTGAAACTCTGTCCCCATTAAACAACTACTGCCCATTCTTCCCTCTCCACCAGCTCCTGGCACCACTCTCTACTTTCTGTCTCTGTGAATTGGTCCTCAGATGAGTGGAATCATACGGTACTTGTCCTGTAGTGACTTGACTGGCTTATTTCACTCAGCATAATGAAAGGTAACCTCATGGTTCATCCATGTTGTAGCATGTGTCAGGATTCCCTTCCTTCTTAAAGCTGAATGACATTCCATTGTATGGATAGACCCCATTTGGTTTCTCCATTCATCCATCCATGGACACTTGGGCTGCTTCCACCTTTTGGCTGTTGTGAATAGTGCTGCTATGAGCATGGGTGCGCACCATTTTGCTCTTAATGGAACGTCTCCATTTGCTTCGCTCCCAGGCGCAGACCCATGGGAAGTGGCCCGTGAAGTGGTACGCTCCAGAATGCATCAACTACTACAAGTTCTCCAGCAAGAGTGACGTCTGGAGCTTCGGAGTGTTGATGTGGGAGGCGTTTTCCTATGGGCAGAAGCCGTACCGGGTGAGCCCCTCCTGTTTCATTTCCTAATGTGGCCATCAGAACAGACAAGCACTGGACTACCTTTACGGGACTCTGAAAATCATAAAATCTGGGCACCCTTACTGAGTCTTTTTGAGGCAGTTAACATGACCTCAGTTTATTCTAAACTGAGGAAGAAATATTTGATGCTAATTGAACAGCGTGTAGTTTTCTTCATTGCGTATTACATATATGAATATTGCACATACACATATAAATACCCAAATCAATCAAATTAATTAGAGTTGAAATAGAAATAATGGCTATTTCGAGTATCAAATTTGCAGCTCAGTTACATTTTTTTAGATTTTTTCATCAAAATATACATATGGAAAAGTGCACAAATTCTAGGATACAGCGTGATGAATTCTCACAAACAGGACATGCCCATGTTCCAGCCCCCATGTGAAGAAACAGCAGAATCCCAGGAGCCCCCACTCCCCCTGCACGCACAGCCTTCCCCCAGGGGTGACCCGTCTGACTTCTAGCGTCCTAGATTAAATGCTCCTGTTTTTGTACTTTATCTCATTGAAATCATACAGCGTGTACTCTTTTGTTTCTTTGGGGCAGGGTGGGATTTATTTGTTGTTTGTTTTGCTGAAGGCTATGTTTAAAGGTTCAGGCATATTTTGCATGTTTTAGGGAATGAAAGGAAGTGAAGTTTCCGCTATGCTGGAGAAAGGAGAGAGGATGGGGTGCCCGGCAGGGTGTCCGAGAGAGATGTACGAGCTGATGAAGCTGTGCTGGACGTACGAGTGAGTACCCAACACTTCCTGAGGTTTATCCAAACACTCTGGAATGGCTGGGCACCACACAAGGCATGAATTCTGTCTTTTCATGAATCAAGGATGTGCTTCCTTCTAAGCAAACCATTGGGGAGATATTGTGCCTCCTGGACCACGAGCTTGCATTCTTTAATCTAAAGAATAAGTTTAGACAGCTACAATAATCCAAGGTATCAAAATTTAAGTGTAGATAATACCAGCCCAGGGTGGATGGGTGGTGAAAGGGAAAAGGTGTTGGTAAAAGTCTGCTCTGGTGCTGTGAGCCATTTTTGGTGATGGAGGATGGCAGAGGTACTCAGCAGGGGTATGTTATACTTTTCTAATTCCTGATCACCTTTCGTAGTGGGCGTGACCACAGATATAGGCCAGCTCACAGATGGATTGGCTAAGATAGTGTGTCCCGAGAAGCAATTCAGACTTTGGAACAGTGGCCCTCAGAGTTGACCCTGAGTGCCATCACATGTCTTGCCTGGTGGAGCACACGTGATGTTGTAGGCGGGTAACATTCAGGGCAGCTCAGCCAGCAAGGGAAACATCATACCTGGGACTCAGAGAAGCATCGCACCTGAGACTCAGAGAAGTGGCCTTTGACCTTGCCCAGGTTCAGCAGCCTGTGAGTGCATTGAGGGGAAACCCTGAGCCCAGGTCTCTGTGCCTCTGGCACTGAAGCATGCACGTAGAGCCCTCGAGGCTCGGGAACCATGTGAGACTGGGCTCGGGAGGAGCTCCTATACTTGCCATAGATTTACTACTTTGAGGACCAGGTTTGCTCTCAGATACGACCGCTGATGTTGCAGGAGCATCGTAAGGATGAGGGATATTCCAAGTGCTTTCAGATGCCACTTGGGATGCCACAACGCCCCAGGGAGCATCACCCACCACCACAATGGGAGTGGAAGTAAAGAACTTCATCATTATCTAGAAGCAGCCCAGGGATCAGCCCCAAAGGGAGAGGGCAGATGGTTTCCTGTCTGCTGCTGCTGACACCATGCAGGGAAGAGCCTTTGGGGGAGCTTCTGTCACCTGAGTCATTAGTGCTAAGGGATATCAGAGTGTCCCCAAGAAAGGAACGCTAGTAATAGATTTGAGGGGGCAGGATGTCCATTCTTTGAAGTCTTGACTGAATTCTCCCTGTGCCCAGACTAGAATCATTAGAACCCATGACAGGCAGGGCCCAGCCATTTCTGTCATTGAAATTGAAGGTCTAGGCTAGAGACGAAGGGGACGGGGGTGTATAAGAAACAGAAGCAAACTGCCCCCCTGAGATGGTGGTGTAGATCTCGGTATGAGTCACCGCACACCTGGCCTGAGTCTGGTCCCAGCTGTCTCTCTTCATGGCGCCTCCAGAAGGCAGGGGGAGGGATGAGGGAAGCCCCTGCTGAGATTTTCCAGGAATCCCGTAATTGAGTGCAGGTCAGTTAGCTTTTCCAGGCAACACAAAAGACTTATAAAGCCACTGGGAATAGCACAGGCTTTTCCTGGCTTTTGGTGGGCACCATGCACCGTGCATCCCGCTGGGTTTTGGAGACTGGCGGGCTGTGGGGATTGTCTGGGAGCAGAATAGACTGCCAGGTCTGAGCTCATGGCATCTTCCTCAGTGCATTTCGTTCCCGGCCTCTCATCTAACTGACCTCTCCTTCCCCAGAAGGACGCTGGGTCAGGTGAGCCCAGCAGCAGTGGGAAGCCACAGTAGGGCAGCCCTGGGGAGGGCACGCCCTAGGGGGTGAGTCTATGAGCATTTAGTAGAAGCATTCTCTGTTCCTGCTTGCGGTCCTTTGGAAGATTTCACTCTCTTGGGGAAAAATGAACTTTAAATCATTCTGAAACAAATGAAAATGCCTGGAATTAAAATGAACTCGCAGGGAGATAAAGTTAGTGTTTTTGCGTTTAACGTTCATATGGACATGTTTATTTCTGTCGGTTGTTCTTTGTGGGGGTGTATACCAGTGAGGAGCGGGAGGGTGGGCAGGGGAGGGGCTCTCGGTGGGGATAGGGTGTTAGGGGAGAACCATGGTGGACGGGGTGGTGCAGCCAGGGCTCTCCCCCGCTGGGCTCGGGGGCGCAGTGAGCCAGCTGAATGCCCTTGTGCCTTAGGGAACCAGGACCAGGTCTGCTGCGCGCATCTGTCCTCATGGACACACACAGCTCTCAGTGCTGTTAGTACCGGGATGATCCACGAGGGGAGAGTGTGAAGGAAAGACAGTTCTCGGTTCTCACTGGAGTCGTAGCTAAGTAGAGCGCTCTTCTTTAAGAAAATGTTATTTTCCATTGTATTTTTCCACCTGGAGATTTAAGTCATAGTCCGAGTGAGGCTTATAGGCAGGGGTGTCTTTCCCATCGCTTCCAACCACAGGAACGCTTTCTGGTGAGTTCCATGTCAATATCCAGGAATCAGCCATCAGGTTTAAGTATCAGTCGAGTAGAAATAGTGATGACAGCCCATGCGTAAAATTAGAAATGGTGACTCTTTGTCAAACTTGGATTTTTTCCCAACAAAGCTGTATTTCTGAACGTTACAGTTTCTCTGGTAGTGACCTGAAATGGAGGATGTTCAGAAACTTTGTCTAAACATTGGTAATTAGATGATGTGCAGTTGGATGAAAACAACAACAATGTTTCCCCAGGCACGCCAACCAGGAGGCCTCAAATGACCAGGAGCTGGTGGGCAACCCAGGCACTTGCCGGAGACAGTAGGGAAGAGGCCCATCCAGGGCAGCCGGCATCTCCGTGCCCCCGGCCTTCTCATCAGCTCCGGGCGTGTCCTGGAGGGACTTTCAGAGCGAATGACGGAAGCCTGAGGAGCCAGATATCATCCTTGGCCCTCTCGCTTTGCAAAGGGGAACAAGATGCTCAGAGCAGTACCTGTAGAGGTCACCTGGGGTGGGGGGTCATCGTCAAAGCCGAGAAGGAAACACTGGCCCCAAGAAAAACAGGGACCAGCAGGGGGACAGGAAGGGGCTTCACTCATAAGTGTGTTCCAGAGTCAATTCACATCCCATCCCAGTCATTAGAGATGCCTGTGGGAAAAGCCCTTGCAAATCAGGAGAAGTTGAGACTCTTCATCCTGAAAAATGGGGCCTCTGCCTAACCCGGAAAACTCTGGGCCATTCAGGATTCTCCGAGTCGGCAATGATCTGGATGGAGCTCAAAATGCTGTTTAGAGATTGGTGTGCCACACTGTGGCAAGGTCCATCCACGGCTCCCCGCCTGTCCCAGCACCTAGTCCTTTCCCTCCGAGCGCCCCATCCTCTAAGACCCCAGGCATTCACTTGGCCGCACTCACCACCTGAGCCTGCTGTGTCAGAGCGCTTGGGGTGCTGGTCAGCAAACCTCACCCAAGGCCCAGACCCTGCCCTGTGAGAGCCTGCCAGTGAGGGGAGGGCGGGAGGCAGTAAACAACAAGCTAAAACATAAGGCCTCCTACAGCATGTACTCAGAAGGTGAAAAGTCCAATGGCGACTCAGCACCAAGGAGGGCACAGGCCCGGGAGGGTGCTGTGCATATGCGTGAGGTCCTCCCGTGTGGTGGTAGTTTCTCCGCAGAAGGAAATGAAACAGTTGCCTGGGGCACAGAAGCATACGGAACTTCCAGAATCTGGTGGATTCAGTGAAGTGAATACAAATGATCACTGTATATTTTCCAACCTTTTTGAAGCTGTTTTCTTTTTTCATTGTTTCCTCCATTGTAACCAGTCAGCCACCTTTGCCAAGAGGGTAGGTAAGTAGATAGATAGATAGATAGATAGATAGATAGATAGATAGATAGATAGATAGATACAGGTATATAAATGACAAGAGAGATGATATATTGATAGAAGATAGATTGATCAATCAGTACATGATGGATGGATGGATGGATGGGTGGATAGATGATAGATGATAGATATTTAGACAGACAGACATAGACATACACACTTAGATTTATCACTGACACTCTATTGACTGCCCTCCACGTACTGAGCACCATGATAACCACTAGTTGACACTTTTCTTGTGGAGGTTACAGTTCTGGGCTGGGCTGGGGGGCTGGGTGTTGCTAGCAGACATGAGACAAATTAACCCCCACATAAATACCTGATTACATATTGTGACAGGTACTATGGAGCAAACCACGGGGAGCCTTGGACAAGAGTAGAGAATTTTGGGGGGTCATTCTTCCATTAGGGGGTCCATACTGACCTCTTTAGGGAGTAGTGTTCCACCTGAGAACCGCAGGATGAGGAGCCTGGGTGCAGGAAATGAGAGGAGAGGAAGGGGGCCGCTGGGTGGAGAGGGCCAGCGTTGGAAAACCACCCTAGGCTGGGGGAGGCAGACGCAGGAAGGCCAGGGGTGGAGCAGAAGCTGGCGCCTGCCCAGGGTGCTTGGTCCCCCTCCTCTGCTGAAGCTCAGCATCATCCTGGCTTCCTGGAGGCAGCGTCGCCCATCGTGAAGGAGAGTCCCCAGGAGACCTGACCAGGGGACTTCGCCAAGGCCCAGTCCGTGTTCTTGTTTCTCGACATTAGTTTGCTTGGTGCTTGGCAGGCAGGTGAATGAAACCCTCACAGCAAGATTCAAAGGGGCTCTTTGTACATTTGGATCCCCACGGTTGGAGCAGACACCTTGTTTTGCAAAGATGATGAAGTTGTGTTCTCTTTGGCTGCAAAAGTTTAAGAGCAGCATGAGGCTGTCCCTCAGGTGGCCGGAGACATGGCCCCACAGTGAGGCCCCAGGAGGCCCGGGTCCCCAGCTGTTACCTCAGATGGCCCATATTTTCAAGCAGTTTTATTTTGGTTTTTGCTTGCTCTCGAAAGCTGTAAGTGCAACCTTTTATTTGGATGCCATTTGACCAAAAAAAAAAAAATTTGGTTCCGTAGAAACCTCTTTGGCCTTACGATCGTGAGTGATTCTTGGTCCTCGCGCCTGCTCCCTGGGTGCTCCATCCATGAAACTGCAGCTGTTGTAGGTCAAAGCCGAATGTGAACAGTTCATACAGTTTAACCTCAAGTTCTGTGTCACTTATTGGGCAATTTTATCCACTTGCAATATAGCCAAAAATCTTGCAAAATAAAAATAACTTCCAAGTGAGGATAGATTCTCAGAGTTTTAAGAAATATTTGCTTGTTGATCCTGTTCAGGACGCCGTTTTAGAGAAAGCAGAGATGTCTGTAAAAGTTTGTTTAGAGATTGCAAATTGTTAAAAACTTTCACCCATCGTTTACTTACATCATCAGCTCACCCGCCAACAGTGACAGAGATGCAAGGCCATGTTAAGATTTATGATAGACAATGTCTGCGTCTTTGCTTCTGCCCCGACAAGTTTTGAGTTTGTGATGAGCAGTGCGTCCGTCCGCACCTGGGATCCGAACCTGCAAACCTGGGGCCGCCAAAGCGGAGGGCACAAATTTAACCACTACACCACCCGGCCGGCCCCAAGTTTTGAGTTTTAATAAGAACCCATATCAACAGCACGTGTTCGGAAAATCCAGAGCCATCTGATTGGGGTGTGGGGAGGGAAACTTTAAATTGTGTCCATATTTTTTTTCTTAAGATTATGAGTCAAACCTTTAATGTGTCTGCAGCACATTGCTCAGCTAAGTATTTTCAGACACATTCCGTTTTACTAGATCACAAGGAGACGGTCTCTGAACCTGGGGTTGGTAGATCTCGATGTGGAGTGCGAACTCTCTCCATCTTTAGGGTGGACTGGAGTCACCTGGGGATCCTGTCGAGTGCAGATGGGGGGCCTGACACTGTTCCTGCACAGGCTTCTGGTCACCTGGTGAAGACGAGCAGGGACACGCTGTGAACCACGGGCTCCGGAGGAGGCCACCAGGGGGCACAGCCTTTGCACTCGACCTGGAAAGGCCCCAGTTGTGATCAGCGCTTTTTCAGAAGCGTGGTGACAAACAATAATGCATCTCTTCCCTTTTCAGGGTGGAGAACAGGCCCGGGTTCGTGGCGGTGGAGCTGCGGCTGCGCAATTACTACTACGACGTGGTGAACTAAGGCTCCCACGCCTTCTGTGGCTGCCGTGGAACAGATGAGCAGTCACAGGGAAACGGATTCCAGTGCATTGATTCTAAGAGTCTCCATCACCCTCTGTCCTGTGGAACATGCCCCTGCCTATATTCCCCAAAGCCTGTCCTGGAACACGCCCTCCCCAGAGCACACAGTCCCAGAAGAGCCTGGGAAGACAGATGGACGGCCAACAGGGTCAAAGGACCCATGGATTCCTTTGTGTTCCTGCCTGTGTGGTTTTCATGGCAGGTTACTTTCAGGATCTGTTTCCAAATTCCCTTTCTGTCTCCCCAGTCCTCTGGCTCCTGGGCTGCATTTGAATGCCCAGCAGCCCGGAGGCATCGCCCTCTGGTGTTGAGGGGTCTCATCCATCCGGGGGTGTTCAGTGGCCTGAGGGTGCAGTTGGCCCATGAGCCTGCAGTGGAGGGAAGGAAGGGAGAGGAGAAGGGGCTTGGCGGCCTCCAGAATATGCTCTGACAGGCCGCAAGACTGTGCCCTGCCGCTGAAAAGCTTTCCCCACGGTAAAAGTGCTTCGAGGCTTAAAAAAAATCAAGCTGGACCAGTGCAGTTTCTAAGTTGTAGCCTCTTAAGGAAAAACAGTCTGTATTCTGCTTCTGCTCTGTGTGTTCTGAGACTGAAGACTCATGCCTCCGTGAAACGTGGGGCCTGCTGGAATGAATCGCTTGGCTTGCTTTCCCTGAGAGCCTCTGTCCCACAGACTCTCTGAAGACTGTACTTGAATGGAGACCAGTAGTTATGTTGTCCGTGGAGACCCAGAAGGGGGGGATGTCTGTCATCTCAAGTCTGACTGAGGACAGACCACAGGGTGCTGCGGGCTGTCGTCTCCTTAGTGTGGTCCACGCTTTCTCTCCCCTAGAGAGAGGATGCGGCCAGAATTCCCCGACTATATTCATAGTGGGGGACAACCTGGTGGCCAAGGCCGTCTAAAGATGAGTTTCTAAAGAAAGTATGAATTCCTAATAAATCCACAGACCCTGACCCTCACCACCAGTGGGCCTTCCTGAGTGTGACTCTGAGTTGAAGACACAAGACCTGAGAGTTCCTTTCTAGACCGCTGGTCTTAGTTAATCCCTGAGTAAGGTCTGACCTTATGCAGCCATGGGCCCGTGGATATCAGTTTTGCTGTGGCCCTTGGAAGTTAGGACACTTAGCCCTCTGGTGGATCTAACCATGTCTCCACCTGGGTCTGGGCTCACTTCGTGTGGGTCATCTCTGGTCCTTGTTTAGCAGGAACAGAAGGACATCACAGACAGACTGCCCTGGCCAGCGCCAACTGACCGCTGATGCCACAAACACTTGTCCCCCCGCAGGCCCGAAGGTTTCTGTAGCAGAAACGTAATCCCATCCGAGGCTAAAATAATGACGTGTGTTTTTTGTTTGAGCGTGTCCTTCCTCTGCACTTGTTGTCACCAGCCCTGTTTTTATTTGTTGGACAGTGACTTCTCATTCACAGCAGCCCAATGACCGCACCCCATCTGGATCTCTGCGGGCAGGGCTGACGCCGGGTGTTCAGGCCCCCCGCCACCCCAAGAACACACTCAACTGGTGAAGCAGTGTTCTCCATCTGTCTCAGAGGAGCTACCTTTTGTCACTGGACGTTTTTTTAAACTGTGATTTTTAATAAAAATTTAAAATCAGCTTTGTGATGATTTTCATGGACCTTGTTAGAATTTGATAAGTTACACCGTCAAATAAACAGTGTTAAACAGCACTGTCAAATGCACAACGTGTTTTTTAAAAAAAAAACGTTGAGTCCCCAGCCATGTCCTAAAAAAGTGGATGTGTGCCGGCCCTCAGAGCAGGGCTGTGAGCTTCTGCCGCACACAGAAGGAAAAGGCCGTCAGTGAGGCCGGGCTGGCCGGGAGCCTCTGTGCACAGGCAGGGATGTGCCCAGCGAGAGCCTGACAGCCCTCGCCATACGCTAATGGAAGGAGGGCTGGCCAGACCCGGCAATCCCGAAAGGGGCCAGAGCGGGGTCGTGGTTATGAGCTTTCTCCTTCTCTGTGAAGACAGCTTTCGGAGCACTGGGGGAGCGAGGAAAGAATCCCAGAGCCCCCTGCTCCTCCTGTTTTAAAGGGGGTTACACACTCACCCATGCACACTTACATACGTACATACACATCACACAGCACAGATGTCCACATACATTCACCAAACACACCACACATGTCCACATACAAATACCACATACACACAGCACACACACAGGCATACATACACACCACACACACACACCCCACACACACACCACACACTGAACCTTATGCCAGATGGCCACTTAAATGCCAGTGTGGGGCAGCACTGGTAACTGTATGCATCTCTCTTCTGCCCGCTCAGGCCTGGGGTCAAGCTGGCCACCAGCCTCCCTCCCAGCCCCACTGGAGGTCCTGCTCCTGGCAGGTAGAGGTTTGGAGGAGACCTGGGTTGGCTGGCCCCATGCTCCCTCGGTGAGCCCTGAGATGGGGCAGCCCCGAGATGGGAATGGCCCAGGCTGCCAAACAGTGCCTTGACCCGTTGCTCCGGAAGCAGTGAGAGAGCATGAAGTTGAAATGGAGAACAATACAGACAGCTGGGTCTCCAGCATCGACCTTGGGCGAGCGAGTCATGCAAACTCAGCCTCCTGATCTGCACAATTGCAGATGAGGGTTATCCCCCGACCACGCGGACACATGCGGAGGCCTGGGGCGGCACTCTAAACATGTCGGTGAGGACTGCAGTCTGTGCTCCCAGGGCCACGGGCTACCTCACGGTGGGGATTCTGTGGGCCAGCAGATGGCGCTGTGTGATGGCTCAGGAGGAGAGCTGACCTTGGGCCCGGAACCTTCCACCCCGGGGAAGGAGCAGAAGCCAGGGTGATGGGTATGTGGCGGTCTTTGGACACAGTGATGTGCCATGGCTTTATCACGAAAGTGGGCGCGGGCAGAGCAGGATTCTCAGACCCCCACTTCTCTTTCCGAGGTCGGGAGGAGCCTTCGGAACTGGCCGATAACACGTTCTCCCTTCAGGGAAGGAAGGAAGCATTTTGAGAGAGCCAGAGGAAGATTCTGCTTTTCCAAATTCTCTGTTAGTTCGGAACAAACAGTGCTGGTGTTTCCCATTTTGGCAGCAGTTTCCTTCTCCTGGAAACTGGCTTGTGTCTTCAGGATGGACATTCATCCCTGCTCCAGGGGAAGCAAGTCCCCGTGGACCATGGCATGTCCTCACGTGTCGTGGCCCAGCAGAGGCGAAGCGCTGTCAGGCCCCCAGCCTGCTCCTTCTCCTCCCCCTGCCGTCCACCCAAAAAGCCCCAAAGAGCATCTCACAGCGTCTTCCAGGGGTGTGAGTCTGGAGGACAGAGCCGTGCCGGACAACCAGCGGCTTCCTCAATCAAATAGCTCCAGACAATATGGCTGAGTGCGTCCCCACTTAAGGATCCCAGCACCCGTTAGCCCACTCGGGGTTCGAGGGGTATTGCAACCAAGACCTTTGTATATGTTTTTCTAGCTCAAAATTTCCCAACGTCTTTGACCACAGAATTGCTCTTGTACTCAATACCTGTTAGCAAGACGGAACGGGTGTTCCTCACACACGTGGGGACATGCCACACTTCCCACACATGATGGAGGGTCTCTAACGTGGGAGACTGAGCGCTCGTGGGAAGGTAAGTGTGTCCTTGAGGTCAGGCCAAGGAAGCAGTCATCTGTGCTCTTGTTAGCTGAAGACCAGCCCTGTCCTGCTCTCAAACGTTGGCTGTTTACATCATATACTCTCTCTCTCTCTCTCTCTCT